TTTATTCTACCATCTGAAAAATCGAAATTATAGAACGTGAACCTATTTCGGATCATCAACTGAAAAATTAGCTTCATTTTTTATTTTATATTTTCGAAATAGAATTATTTCCATATGAGTGCAATGACTAGATGATTAGATATCATCGAGGATATTATTGAATAAATCCAGTCTTTCAAGTTTGTAACAATACTGAACTTGAATAACACACTGTACACCCTGTTTTAATTTTTAATTTTTTTATGAACGCGCATTTAATTTTGCCTGTTCTCCTCAGTCCCTTACCAAAAAGAATCCTAAAGTTTCAGTAGTACATTCATGTACTGTGGTGACTAAATTATTTGTGAGCCCATTTTATCAATAATAGATCAATATTCAATGGTTAATAACTCGGTTAATAAATATGCTCTTCCTTTGGTGGCCAGGTAGCCGTGCGGACAGAGTGTCTATATTCTAATTCGCATTCGCTTGCCGGTCGTGGGTTCGATCCCCGTCGACTGCAGAAATTTTTCTGATGGCCCAAGAAAGTGTTTGGGATCACACGTTAAAAGGTAAGGCCCCCGTCATTCCTTGCTCGCACAAGACTTTCGAAGACTTTTGAGGGTTGCTCGTAAGGGGGCAACCGAATGACGGATAGAACAAATTTTAGAACAAATTTTTATGAAACTTTAATTCAACGGAAATCAGAACAATCTCTGAGGCATTTTCTTCTGAAAACAAGGGAATCCATCGATAAATCCTTCAAGAATGAAAGAGGACTAAGAAGAGCAAAAAGGAATTAGCTCTGCAGCACTTTCGTTGCCGTCGAAAATCTAGTCACTTGCAGATTATTTTCGTCCACTCAGGAATCAGAAAATTCGGATGCCACCGTCTGCATCTCCATCTACGAATTTATATAAAAATCTTTTAGAATCATAATATGAATGATACCTGAACTCTTATAATCTCAGTCATGATATTGAATTGGGATTCTTGATAAGAAAGTATACTCACATAACACTGTTTTCAGAATCCTCCCAAAACCAACTTCGCAAACAGTATAGGTAGTTTGGCAAGTAACTTATGCATTAGTGTTAATGGGTCATTTTAGTTCTTTAATTTTTATAAGTCAGTGGCGGATCTAGCAGGCTTTTTCAGCGGGGGCGGGGGTTTCGTATCTTACTTTCATAGGGGGCGATAGTGACACGGTTCGAACCGAGTAGTTTTGAACATAACTTTTTTGAGGTTAGATTTTCCAATCCAAATTTGATGTGGACTCATCATCATTCAATTTTTCACCAAGAAACTCTTGGTAAAACCTGATACTGTTCTCCGGGAGGTGTTTGATCAATTGGATCATTATGTACTACTGAATGAGTTGGAAACGGTCGGATTCAGTGATGGATTATTGCATCTTTCTTAAAACTATCTTCTTGGTAGGCAACAATTTGTCGAATATATGGGTTTCAAGTCGGATATTTATACAGTCTCGTTTGGGGTTCCGCAAGGATCGAATTTGGGCCCTCTTCTCTTCTTGATTTTCATAAATGATGAAATTATTCAGTTCTATAAAGGATATGGATGCCTTACAACAGTCCCTAGACGAAATTATTGGATGGTGCGACTCAAATCGTCTTGATTTAAATGTATCTAAATGCCAGTATGTCATATTCCAGAAGAAAATGTGATTCCATATGACTATTTCATCAATGATAATTTACTGAAACAAAATGAGGAAGCTAAAGATTTGGGTATTGCCGAGGGTATCGCAATCATATTGACACTGTAATATCTGCCCTCGAAGATGCTAGGTTTCATTTACCTCAAATGTAGAGATTTCAAAAATATCTTTGCACTTGAACTTCTTTTTTACTCGTATATAAGATCTGAACTTTAATATGGTGTACTATATGGTATCCGACAACCCAATATCATTCAAACCAAATTGAAAGTATTCGAAGAAAATTTTTGAAATATTCATGGATGAAGGTGTATGGAACTTACGTGTCTAGAGGAATTGCTAGCCAGGTCCTTCTGGATGGTTTCGGAATGATCTCTCTAAAAAATCGTCGAATAATTTTGAGTGTAACATTTCTTTACAAATTGATGCATAACCAAATCGATTGCTATGTACTTCTTGATCAAATAAACTTTCCCATTCCAAAATTAAACAGTATAGTCAATCAAACAGGGCTTTTTGAAACATCCTGTATAAGCAGAATTATTGTGGAAATTTCAAATCGTCATATCGAAAGAGAGAGTCGATTCAACTTCATTTCGTTCTCTTCGCATTATTTTTCCTGATATAAAACAGTTCCGAATCCGAGAGAACAAAACATTCTAGAACAACATATTTTCATAGGATAAAAATTAAACAAAGGGTGTGTGCAAATATTTCAAAATGCATATCTATCGAAAGAATGGTCCAATTCAACTCCGATTTGATCTGATCGCATTATGTTTCCTTATAGAATACAGATCTGATTCCGAATAATGGAAATCAGTGAATGAATAATTCTTCGGAAAAAATGTGAAATTTTTTCCATTCAATGAAGGGTATACATCAACAAATCCCTCAAGAATGCGGAAGAAAACTGAGTGTTCTATACCTATTTACTTTCAGATTATTTTCATCCACTCAGGACTCATGAACCAGAATTTTCGGATGCCACCGTTTGAATCTTCTACTATTTGTATACAGGGTGATCCACAGTGGATGGCCTATTAGAAGTATCTGGAGAACGAGAAGACAGAACATTCTGAAAATTGGGATGCTTTGATAAATGGCTGAAAGTCCTATGAAATACCTTTCCATAATAACCTATGTAAATTGCGCCCAAGTCATATTAATGAATTTCTGGGATTCCTGTTAGGTTCACTTACCTTATGTTTCCTGAAGCATCCCCAAACTTCGCAAACAGTAAGTAGAAATATGTTTGTGCATATACGTTGATGAAACATAAAAGTTTAATCACAAGAAATAATTCGAAAATACAAAACACAACACTGTGAAGATAAAAGTTAGTTAGCTAGTTAAAGTGTGGATTTATGCAGCATCAATTAACAATTATCGAATAACAATTATTATTTTACAATAATCAATTATGAGTTGAACTCGCTAGTTCCAATCACTGTGTTTTTGCAGACAATTAACAAATTGCATTCATCGAATAACAAGTTGGTCAACTTTTGACTTCTTACATTAATTCAACCAGTAGGTTTCCTTATTGTGCGCAATTAGTACACAAATGACCTTGTAGATGACCGAGGATTGGTCCATCCTATGATGGAAACTAACCTCAAAACATTTGCCGGTTTGGGTTTTCTTTTTACTTCTCGTTATTCCCATTATTTTTGGGTTCCACATCCTCCCGAAATCTATGCATCGACTCGTATAAACGAATACTGATACAAGTGAATCTTTTCTGAATGTCTATCGATTTCGATTTAGCCAGGCCACGCTAGACATCAACAGACCAGTTTCGAGTACGTTGACTCTCATCAGTGCAGGGCAGTCTCCAGCCAGCAGTCCTAATACTAAGCGTAGCCCAGCCAAACAAAAATCAATTCGGCGTTATATTCTCCCAGAGGTGTCCTCCATAGACAATATAAAAGGAACCCCATCTGAGTAGGAACTTGATACTTTCAATTGATACATAAATCCACAAACTGTTAGCTGCTGATATCAAAATCTATCGGAAGAGAGAGAAATGAGAAGAGATCGCACTGACAAGTGACAGCAGACAAACGGGCAGTGACTAGATTCACGCCTGCCTGAAACTTAGTAGTGAGTTTCGAAACCGTCTTCATTCGAGAAAATTAGGCAAGCACTTGAAAACCTTCGGCGTATAGGGATAATTTTTTCATCAGAGATTAATATAATTTAAATAGATTGTCGTGGGCTTTTATTGAAACATTTACAAAACAAGCATAAATATAATAAAACTTTCAATCGTTTCTATCGAAAAATTGAAAAGATAAACGCCAAACAGGCTTACGATCAATTCTAAACTTTGAAATCCCTTGATTTAACACGTAAACCCATTTCGAAACTCCTTGAGTAACTCGATAAACTTTGATAAATTGTTATTCTTGTTGTTCTATAAGGACGTTTTGTCTCAGAATATCTGATTGGAACGACTAAACTTCTCAGTTGGAAAGAATTAATTGCACTTGAAGAGGTATAAGTATAGTAGCGTCACAGTATTATAATAGAACACACAATAAACAACTGAATCCAGAATAAGTATACGAATATTCCAAAAAAAATGTTACCCTTGAGATAGTTGCAGAAGTTTTAAATGGTCATCAAAGTGCAAGGCGGTGATTCCTTGTTATGGAAAAAAATATTTATATACCTATCTCGCTTTCGAGATGTTATTGGAGTAAGAAAAGTATCTATTATTTCTCTCGGCTGTGTTTTCTGTGGCTGTAAGATTTCAGAATGAATTAAAATTAATTGATAATATCGAGTAATCTCAATGGGTGTCTTGAAAGCACCTACACGAAAATTGTGAGTCAATATCTTCAAATTCCTTGCTCCATTGTTGAATTAACACAACACAACCTCTAACGGAAATCCGAATTCGTTGAATCTATCGAAATAATGACTCATATTGCTCCATTCAAACATGGGAACATATAAAGGAAATTTACATTGTTTTTCAGAAATATTTCATAAGTTGGGAATCTTAATCACAGGAACATGATATATATAGGAAGAAGCATTTGGAAAAGATCACACAAGTTGAAATAATCTCATAGGGACATTGATAATGAAAGCAAAAATTGCTCCAAAATGATATGAAAGGATTGAACACAGGGACGGACTAAATGGAAGAACATGTGTTTCAAGTAAAAGTACCAAATCGTCAGAATAACCCGTGAAATACTGAATACTTCAAATTTTGATGGCCCTTGTTTTATTAAATTCGATAGTCCACTTTGTTGATTGTATATTTCAATTCCAACTGATCCTGATCGATGCATATTTTTTAGTCAGCAACTTGTAATTTTTTTCCAGGTGGATCACCTTTATCCACTGGTCTACGTTGGGTCAGAGTCAACGTTCCACAATACCGGGTACCAGGAGAAACTGCTATGCTGCAATGCGACTACGACCTCGGCAACGACACCCTGTATGCCGTCAAGTGGTACAAAGACCACGAGGAGTTCTACAGGTTCGTACCCAAGGCCAAACCACAGGCCAACTGGTACGAAGTTGAAGGAGTCCATGTGGATGTAAGTAATTCAGTGGCGATCAACCTATCATCCTCATCCCGATCATTGATCATCACAAAAATCATCTCTCTGTTCTTTGAGGTTTGAAAAATCCCAACCAGGGGCATACACGGTAATCTGACATTCTATGTGAACGACCTAAGGTTAAGGTTATGTTTATCTCTTTATTTCATTTATTGACCTCATTACAAACACCGACAGGTAATTACAGGTAATGATAGTATACAGAAGATATTTACAAAATACAATTATACAACTAAACTTATAACTAGGTAAGGCACAAGCAGTCACAAACAGGTGATGTGTGATAGTTTCACACGCCATATTCTTGTAGCTCTTCCACGTTTGTATTAAATAAATCTATGTGTGTTTGCTTGAGCTCTTGATCGCATATCGATAGCATTTCATTTATTGGTGATGTGCTGACTAGTTCTACCTTGAAAATATCATAATTTCTGATTCTAAAATTTATTTTAAGAACGTTTATGTCTATATACTTAATTAAATCACAGTCTTTGTACTTTATAATAATATACCTACTTCAATAGATAGTAAATGAATGGCGCTGCCTGTTTATTTCTTCTGTCCAACAAACTCGTGAAATCAAAGGCTTCCAGCATGTACTTATATGGGACTATATATGGGTGGAAATTGTTTTTTCTATGACTGTTGAAAACTAGACCCTTTTAATGTAACATTTTTGTTGGGTAACTGGATGCATTACACAAAACAAGCCACGCCCCGTGTGTAAGAGCCTTTACACAACAGGCTATGGCCAATCAGCAACAAAGCAGATTCATTACCTACAAAACAGTTGACACCAGTTGTAATGATAATATGGGGCATGCAGTGAAACGTTTGAATCAGACTCGTCATGAAATGTCATAATTTGACAATAGCTATCTGGCGTGATTCAGAACTGACTTTTTGTACAAATATGGATTCAGAAAGCGAAAATGAATTCAACTGCTCTCCACCATCAGGAGTTTCGAAAGCTGCCAATTCAAGTACAATCAGCCTTTTGCCCGAGGAATCTAAAAAATGGATGCATTACACAAAACAAGCCACGCCCCGTGTGTAAGAGCCTTCACACAACAGGCTATGGCCAATCAGCAACAAAGCAGATTCATTACCTACAAAACAGTTGACACCAGTTGTAATGATAATATGGGGCATGCAGTGAAACGTTTGAATCAGACTCGTCATGAAATGTCATAATTTGACAATAGCTATCTGGCGTGATTCAGAACTGACTTTTTGTACAAATATGGATTCAGAAAGCGAAAATGAATTCAACTGCTCTCCACCATCAGGAGTTTCGAAAGCTGCCAATTCAAGTACAATCAGCCTTTTGCCCGAGGAATCTAAAAAAAGTGGTTTGGCGACAAGCAAAACTTGCAAATTCGTTTTCGGATAATGTACTGCTAGCCTATTTTGACGAATTACCAGCTAAACACAAAGCATCCTCCTTGTGGTCACAGTATTCCATGGATATACTAAGAAGCACAATTTCAATGGAAAATTATGATTATTGACAAATATTTGAAATTACGAGCATTTCTAAAAAGGAAATCTGATCGATATATGTCAAATAAAGCGAAGATATTCGCAGGTAATATCCCGAGACCATGACAAATAGCCGACTATTATTTTCGTCATAATTCTATCGAGAGTATCTTGTATTTTGACAATTTGATGAGACCATATGAACATAAATAATCTGAATAACTCCCGAGAGCTTTAGCTCGAGGGAGTTATTCTATGATTATTTATGTTCATATGGTCGAATTGAATTGTCCCAAAATACAAGTTACTCGAGATGGATTAACGAAAATAATAGTCTCCATTTGTCATGGTCGAGTGATATTCAGGAAGATTATTTCATGAACAGTGCAAAAATACTGGTTTATATGAGTTTCAACATTTTATTCAAGTTTCAATTCTGCAGATACTATTTAAATAAAAATTCTTCTGAAGGCCGTCTGGGGTATTCTCATCATATCTACGTACAATTGTATCAAATTTATCTGAAGTTAGAGCAAAGAAAGAATATTAACGTTATTGATAGCGTTGATATTCTTTGATTAGAGCTTATGTACTTTCATTTCTTGTTTGAGGAAAATATTGTAGGCTTCGCCTTTTTGCATTATGCGCAACCCTGGCACCTGTGAATTCAATATATCCAAATGGATTTGTCTTACATTTATCTTCATCGAAGTAATCTTCCTGTATATAGTTTTCCATATCAATTTCAACTGTGTATTCCTAATATTCCTCACCATTCTCCTCACCCACTCTTTTAGAATTTGGGAAATCACGAGAGATAGGGTAGTCGCACAAAATTCATAGTTTTTATGCTGGCAAACAAACATGAATTGTTCCAGACAGACTCTTTACTCTTCTTGTTATTTTCTGATATCGATTCGCTTACATAATAACGAATTTTCGTAGTGGAAGTTGGCTCAAAACGAGACATTTCAATTTTTCAGTGACTGATAGGTATGTCAAAGTTTGACAACCATATAGCACCCTTATGCTAGCGAACAGAATAGCCGCTCATATTGTTTGTTTACCTAAATAGCCGCTGATATCGCATATCATGTGACTTCAATCATGACATTTGATAGGTCCAGCCGGGTGTGAATGAAATAATCACTGCTGATGAACTCAACCAGTTCATCACTCAGTCATAGAAAAAGTATACCTAGTATTCTACTTGCGTGTAATGGCTATTACTCATTCGAATTATTACGACGTTCGCCTGCGGCTCACGTCGCAAACTTCATTCTCATGAGTAATGGCCATCATTACACGCTCGTCGAATAATATACTATTTCCTAACACAAAAAGTATCGTAAGAACCTCTTCTGCACTTTCTCGATGTGGTCTACATGTGTGTGTGCTGAAGGCATCCAGATTTGTGCTGCATAATCTAGATGTGGTCTCACTATAATTTATGATAGAGTCTGATTATTGTTTCAATTTGGACAGATTCACTATTTCTCATAATGAAACCCAACGATTTCGATGCCTCATTGACTATATTGTTATAATGTGAATTGAACTTCTTATCATTCTGAAATGTCACTCCTAGATCTTTGATTTCGTTCCGTGGTTCCAGTCATTCACCATCAAATATATAGTTATATTCAATGATGTTTGTTTACCGTCTGAAGGTTATAACGGAGCACTTTTTTATGTTCATTGACATTTTGTTAGCCTCAAACCAATGACTGACATTGTTTATATCTGTCTGTAACGAGATACAATCCTGCGGGCTGGATATTATTTTAATTTGAAATCATCAGCGAAGAGCAAGTCCATCGATTCAGAAAGACAATCAGGAAGCGAGTTGATGAATAGAGTTAATAATGATAAACCTAGAATCTCAAGACTAAGAAATTCTAGGAAAATTTCGTGAATCGATTGTCAGCTGATGCAAGACAGACTGTTTCGACTTGCCATAAGTCTCATCAGTTGCACTGGCCAGCTGACAATCGATTCACGAAAGGTACCTCCATATATCGAACAAGTCGAAGCCCTGAGGGGGCAGAAGAACGATCTAGCCTTCATAGCCATCTAGTGGCTTAAGTGCAAGGTGTATAGGTAGATTCATCAATCATACCTTGCGACTAAGTCGTGCATATAGACCCCTACGTCTATATACTTACAGAAAAGACATCCATGTCAGATTCTGTAGACTATCGCAACACCTGTAATTCTCAAAGTGGTTTAATGTTCCACTAACAGATGGTGATAAACCTAGAATCTCAAGACTAAGAAATTCTAGGAAAATTTCGTGAATCGATTGTCAGCTGATGCAAGACAGACTGTTTCGACTTGCCATAAGTCTCATCAGTTGCACTGGCCAGCTGACAATCGATTCACGAAAGGTACCTCCATATATCGAACAAGTCGAAGCCCTGAGGGGGCAGAAGGACGATCTAGCCTTCATAGCCATCTAGTGGCTTAAGTGCAAGGTGTATAGGTAGATTCATCAATCATACCTTGCGACTAAGTCGTGCATATAGACCCCTACGTCTATATACTTACAGAAAAGACATCCATGTCAGATTCTGTAGACTATCGCAACACCTGTAATTCTCAAAGTGGTTTAATGTTCCACTAACAGATGGTGATAAACCTAGAATCTCAAGACTAAGAAATTCTAGGAAAATTTCGTGAATCGATTGTCAGCTGATGCAAGACAGACTGTTTCGACTTGCCATAAGTCTCATCAGTTGCACTGGCCAGCTGACAATCGATTCACGAAAGGTACCTCCATATATCGAACAAGTCGAAGCCCTGAGGGGGCAGAAGGACGATCTAGCCTTCATAGCCATCTAGTGGCTTAAGTGCAAGGTGTATAGGTAGATTCATCAATCATACCTTGCGACTAAGTCGTGCATATAGACCCCTACGTCTATATAGAGTCTAGAGTTAATAATAATGGACCTAGGGTACTACCTTGCGGCACTCCTGAGGTAGCTATATATTCCTTTGAGGTATTTCTGCCTACTTCAACTAGGAGTTCCCAGTTCAGCAGATATGATTCAAGAAACAGAGATGTGGAGTATGTTATTCCCATGTTCCAATTATAGTGACTAGATCCAGATCATCAGAGAGATGTTTGGCTAACGCTCTCTCTGGCATTGCTTCTTGAAGTTGAAGAAACCACAGAGATGCTGCTATGGACATGAAATACTTTATTTATTTGACTATACTCAGTTGATATTTGTCTTGAACTTGAATGATCAAATCTTATGCAGTTAGTACTCATCTCTCACCGTATGTTATTGTTCTTTGGCACACCAAGTGTCAAATCAATTTGTTGTGTGAGACTGTTCCTCTTCAAATAATTGATTAGCCTATGTACTCTAGGTATTCCATTGTGATCTGGTAGCAATGATAATATCCAGATTGATTCAATAGTAATGTTCCTGTTTGTGTCGAAAGGTTTCTGTTTGCAAGAAACAACCGTGAAAATATGCTCCTCTTCA